AAAACAAAAGCAGGAAGCTGACTGTAGTCAATGAGGAATAGGTATCCTTCCCAGCTGGTTGTTGACAAGTTCCCCACAATCTCCATTGTGTTCCCCCCCAATGCACCCAGCCTCTTTATGTCAGTCAGACCTACTAGATGGAACACTTTTCCTAGGATTTCCAAAAGAATCCTTGCTATTTCTGGGTTGGAGGAGACCCACAAGATGTAGAACGTACACGGGAAATAATTAATTTTGCTGTTTGCTAGTGTCAGCGTCCTTCCTAGACGTTTGGAGTATCTGCCAGATTTGCTCTCTTGCTATTCCTATAGGAGCTCTTTGGATGCAGCGGTCGGTGGGATTTAGTCTGCCTTGTCCTTCCTGCAGTCACAGGGCAAGGTCCTTGGAGAGCAATAGATCCCTAAGCATCGGCTGATGCAGCTGTCCAGCATCGCATTTATGCCTAGTCTAAGGAGACTGCAGGGTTTTTGGGTGCCCTCCAAGTTGTGAGTGCAGCTGTGTTTATTAAATCAACACCTGTAAGCCAGCGACTTAGCACAGAGGCTAAGCAACAACAGCAGTTAGTTCTTGTGTGGGTAACTTCTCCCCAGGGGAATGCTTTACACTGAAATTCATTAGATGAATGGAAAATATAATGCTCTGAGTATCCTATTAGGGACAGCTGTGTGCACAAACAAAGTAATAAGTGATTGTAGGTGGGTGCAGGGCTGCGTGTATTTGTATGGGCACACGTATATACACGTGTATAGGGTTTACAGGCATTGTATGGGCAATCATATAGTGAGTGTGTGTGTGTGAAAGTTGCTTCCAACCTTAAGTGCATCAATAAATCGGCTAATTAAAAGGCTCTGGAACATAGCTTCCCTATTACTTACAAAATTCATGGCTTAAAACTTCTGGATCCTCTAGTAGCCAGAGTATGACGTGCTTTCAGCCTGCAGCTCCATTTAGGAGGCAGAGCAAGGTAACCCTGTTTACCCTGTTTGATTGTCCTCCATTTGAAGCCACCTGCCCAGCAGCCTAAGGCCATCTGGTCTTCATGAAACTTGATAAGTGAAAAACTCTACGTGTTGAAAACCACTGATTACCTGCATAATACGATAAGCCATAGCGGCAGCCACCTGCGCTTCCTCCTTGCTTCAGAGAGGGAGTGGTCTTTGCAAGCATGGTTCTACCTGTGTCCCTTCAGTCCTTTGTCTCAGGCAGGGATGCTACAGGCTGAGTTGTGACAGGGACTCCTGCCCAGTCTATAAGGTTTCTCCTGTTTTTCATCATGCAGCTATTAGATTGTAATATCCCTGGGGCTAACTCCAAACCAGAGACCTCGAGGTGTGCAGCCACATACCCAATCTGCTGTCTCAGACTTACAAAAAATTATTATCTCTGTTTTCAGGCTGGGCAGCTCTCCAGGCTGAGAATTCAACACTGTTTCTTTCTTGTGTAGGATATTTCTAGGCCCCGGCCACCCCAAAGAGCTTTGCCGGCTAATCCCATCCCAGCCAGACCTAGAGCCTGGCCGGGGAACAGCCCTGCCATCTCGCTGCCTCCTGCGCACACCAGAAACCCAGGACGACTCCAGCCTGTGGCAGAGGTAGGCACTGAGCATGGTGACGGGAAGCACAGTGGCATCCCCTCATTACTGGGGAATAAAATTACTCTGAAGGGAGTAATCTTGATATCACGCTGCAAACACCTTTATGCGCAGCCTGGGTGGGTGGAAATGAAAAGGCTGTTGGGTTGGTTACATTTATTGGAGGGGCCTCTGTTTTTACCTGTTCCTTATTAAGCATTTACTGGGTTAAGCAAAACAGTTAATTCAGTCCTCCACATCTCTGAGCACTTCTTCAGATAAAACACTTGTGTGAGTGGGGTGAGCAATGAGGGTGTGCATGACCCAGAATGGTTAGTGAAGAGCAGCAAAACAGGAAGATCCACACAAGACTTGAGGACCCCAGTAAGGAACAAGCCCTATCTAGTCATGGCTAAGGAGATGCTTTCTCTGCAGGGATTGTTTCCCAAAATTGTCCTTAAGAAGGACCATTAGTAAGGGACTTTTGAGTCGCTGAGTTCAGCTCCCTGCAAGCTAGACCCCTTAACACAAAACACCTCCACTCCACACACCACAGGTGTTGTCTCCAGCCAGCAACATACTTGAGGCCAGCTGTGAAAAATGGAAAAAACTGCATGAACTTCATTGTGATCCTGGTGGGAGAGTTTCCTACGTGATGCATTGGGGTGTGAATGCATGTGAATGGAGACAGGCTTCTCCTGGCCCACTGTAATATCAGCTCCAGGAGTGGGAGAGGGCAGCGTTTGCTCTTTCGTCAGTGCTCACCCCTCTTTTCTCCATTTTCCATCTCACCCAGAATGGTGTCGGGACAGCTGGAGCAGCAAACGTCTTGAAAGTAGGACAGCTGGGCTGCCGTGGGCACTCATGAAGCAGTCTGTTCCTGACTGGCTCTGACCTTCACAGGGGACTGGACGGCCTTCATCACCCGAAAAAACATTCACAGCCACAGACAGTGTCTCAGTTCCTCTCCTCCAGCCTCACCTGTTTCCTATGTGACTCAACAAGCTGCAGTCAGGCTTGGCAGGAGTGCCCCCAGGAACTGCAACGGTACATGCCAAGCTGAACTCAACCCTCTCTGCTGATAGCCTTTTCCATATAGGGATGACTTGTTTATACGGTATTTAAATATTATTGTGCAATATCCAATGCAGGGATGGGGTGATGGGGGCTTCATGTGTTTTTAATCAGTTATTTAAGTGTTACCAGGGAGAACAAGCTGTGAGTGCAGGTGCTGGCCCTGATGGGCTTTCATGTAAGACCCAGCCCTGTTGGCTTCCTCAGCCCATCCACGCAGCTGCAGGAGCATACATTGGTGCTATACAGAAACCACTGCCTCTTGGGAGAGCAGAAGGCAGCCGTTGATAACTTCCTTTAGCTTATTCTCAGTTTACAGTGGGTGGCAATTGGGGTCACAACAGGGAGCAAACCGTGGAAATATTCCTGGTTAAAATAACTTGTGGGTCACCGTGGATTTTGATTAGCTTTAATAGAGCAGATTAATTATTTTCCCCATATAACCATCTTCAGCAAGAGCATTGCAACCTGTCTACCCTCCAGCACTCGCTTGTCTTGCCTCAGTGCTGTAAGACCCGACAGCATCCCCAGCGTGGCCTGTGCGCTCTCATCCGTGTCATTGGGACACAGTCAAGGTACGACAGGGAAAATCTCTGGCCAGGACAACAGAGCAAATGGCCAGAAGGAAGCTCAGCAAAAGCCAGTGCTGAAACCTCCTCTCTGGCATACGGTACTGTGGATAATCAGTTGACACTTTTGCATGTGTCTCCTCAGGCTTTGGTCCGTGGTGAGCAGTAATTCAGCATGGGCTGTCCGCTCCCCATACCAGTGAGAAACCTACCTTAAAATTGCCCAGGTGGTAAAACAGCAGAAATATTAATATGACACATGGTGCTTTTGTAGGGCAGCTCATTTACTCCAGGTTTTTTCTCCAGGACGTGGATGGAGAGAGCTGTCTGTGTGCACTTTAAGCAGCTGATGGTTCTGACCCTGAGGACCCTCCCATATGAATTTGTTTGGGGTTTTTTTTCCTAATAGTTTGGGCTTTTGTATGTTTTTCTCAGGATTTTAAATTAAGACCTTTTGTTATGCCAAATTTTTTTCTTTTTTCCTTGAAATGATTTCCTAGGAGAACACAGGGAATTCTGGAGCTGTGGTTACAACAGTTCTGTTGTGTCTGATTTGTTATGGACAAATCCTCAAACAGCATGATTGCTGCTGCACATGTGAGAAACTATTATTGGCATAAAGAAAAAAGTCCTGTCTGATGGTTCTCTTTCCTTAAGCTCTACTG